ATACATAGATGCATTAGATTACAGTAATTACATTACATTACATGAAACCACATACATTACATTACATTACATTACATTACATTACATTACATTACATACATCACATACAATACATTACATTACATACATTACATAGATACATCCATACAAACATACATACATAATTAACATACATACATCACATCACAGTACAGTACAGTACATAACATAACACAACATATGATAATCAGACCTGGATCTTTTGGGAAAGGTTTAAGATTCAAGATGTCTAATCATGCCCGTTTTTCGCTTTAACACAAGGCACCAGCCGGCCGCTTGTTGATCCTTCCTCCCCCCAATAAGCCCGTCTCTTTTTTGTGCGTTCGGCCACTATCCATTAATTAGGTCCTTTGCTAAGGTTCAGTAATTAGTGGTTTTGAACGAAATCCCATCTAAAGCAATATAGGACTGCTGACTAAGGGTCCAAGATGGTCTAGCCTACGGACACTTCTGCGGCCAAAGGACTCTCACTTGCCCCTCGCTCCACTTCTGCGGATGCACGACCGCTCCAGGCAACGGCACACCCGGCGTCGAGTCCCCGGGGCTCGTCTCCTGGGAGATCGACCCGTGCGTCGTGTGTTCGGTACTGAAGCGTGGGCACCTACAGACCTCAAGAGTGTCGAAGACGTCACCTTCTGAGAAAGTAGGACTGGATCCGATCCGGGCAGTAGCAGTATCAGGTACCTGTACCAGCACGTCTTTATCATACTGCGGTGTACCGGTGTACTATAAATGTCGGCATAGCAGTGTAGCACGGCCCCTCAGAGGAGAGCCTGGACGTCCTGTTGGTTTTCTCGTACGGACGGACCGTCAGGTCCAGGAAGAGCATTGGATCCAAAACCCTAGGCCTCCAGTCGTACCTGCTGAGAAGGTGGACTGGGGTGGGTGCCATGTTCGGGTCTAAGTACCGAACCTGAGGAGGTACGACTGGAGGTGTAGGGAAAATGATGAAAAGACACACGATTCCGCGCGATGCATCCAGAAATTGGCATCCAGTTTATACATAATAGCCTGAAACACGACTTGTAAAAATGGTTGACCGGGGTCTGTAGTGTACAATCATTAGTCGTATGTCTTAGTAAAAGAATGGTACATGGCTTGGTAAAGCCTGTATGTATGGATTTCGTATGATGTTGTCCTTCGTTTTCTCTCCCGTACTTACTGCCCGGCGTTTTTGTGCAGGTGGACGTGTACTCTAGACTCTGCATGCTCCGCTCCCGTGAGGTCCTCGTTGAAAAAGGCCTCTCCCAAAAGCACTTCCGGAGCTGAAGCATGGAGAGGAACCGCTTCGATGAGAGGAGGATGCGGCATAGCCGCCCAGCCACGTGCCGCGCACCGTCCGGCCGCGTGCCGCGAGTGTCGCGACGCGGTGGAGGCGAAAGCAAGATTGCGTGGGACGGTGGATGAGGGCGTGTGAGGTTGGTGGAAGGTCTCTTCTAGACTTGACCGTGTGTAGGAGCGAAAAGGATCATCTGAACTGGTGTAAGTCCACATAAGTCCACATCGTGTTCATGATTGTCTTTTTCATTCTTTTTCATCCTTTATCTCAAGGTCAGTGTTTGCACTCCAAACATATGCGAACCTCTTACAACATCCTTATTTTGGTTATCATCCCTACTGGAATCCTAGTTTCCCCATTGCTCACTATGGCTCATTTTGGGTTCTCAACTTGGCGGCCATGCTGCTGTTTTCACGAAAGCCAAGGTGTGGGCGGTTGTCCAGCCCTCTGACAGGTGACCAAATTGAGACCTCCACTATAGGAAGGAAAAGGTACTATAAAGACCTGTTGGAAGAAGGCCTATATCCCTGCCACAAGCAAAATCATGCAGAAACTGGTGACCTCAGGTTCAATGCCCAACCAGAGGACGTCAACTTGAAATTCAACGAGATGTCCTTCAAGCGCAAAGACTCATCCAGAATGCTAAGGAATCCTTGGACCTTCTCCCTCCCTCTTGGCAGGGGGACGGAGGGGCCCTCCTGACCGGACCCGACATTTTGGCACCTACATAACAGTCGAACACATCAAGGTACCTGAGGTACGGTATCCCTATGGGGTGAGGGAAACATCCAGATGAGCTGACTTGGTCACGACAATCCGAGATGTTCAGGTCCCTGTCGTTCACCCTGCTTCATCTCCGTACCGCACCGACTCTGCGTGAAAACACACTGGCTTGGTCATGGAGGTTCCTCCCCAAAATGGCCTCATCCCAAAACCGTTTAACACATCTACCTGGAGTCTGATTTCCAACATCAGAAAAAATGGGTAGTAGATGTTCGGGTCATGTCCCATCTTCGAGAGTGCGAACGAAGTGGAAGGTGCAGGTAGGTGTTGATCCTCCATAGATGATGACACTGCCAAAGACCAACAGCTTGTTCCAGCCTCTCAGGCGTTGGAACTTCTGCGGCGCCCGGCTAACTCCAGCGTCTTCAACAATGGGCTCGCCTGAAAAACAATGTGCAGTTCTCACCCAGTTTGGAGAAGACTCCCAAGTACGATTTCACCAAATCCATCCAAATTCCCAAAGACCCCATCTTTTAACAATCCCCAAGCTTTTCAAACATGTTGAACACATTCCCAAATCCTTGATGCAGAACAAGCCCCTGAACCTGAACCAAAGGAACATCCGAAATAACCAAATTTGGGGTCACAGCACTGGCATCCATCCAGCACAGAACGAATCCAACAAATGATTCTTGGATACATGTACCACTCAGACTTGTAACCAAAGAATATGCTGGACAACAATACAAAGTGGCCATCTTCGAACTCTGTTCAAAACTGCTTCTCTGAGGCTTCCCAACCACTGGTTCATTGCAGGGCTCCAGTTCGCAGTGAGGCAAGGGGAGTCATGGAGCATGGAGTCATTGAGCTTAAAGCATTGAGAAAGGTGCGTCTCAACAGGTCAAAGCAACGACATCAGGTGCCTTCCCAAAAAACAACATGCTGACACAGGATTAAAGAGCTTCACGTGATTGATCAAGCCCAGCTTGAGCCCCCAATAAAAAAACTAAGTTTACTTCAATCTTTTATATATTTCCACATTGAACTCCTTGTAAAAATAGTCTTGCTTGGTACAGACCTCCCTTTTTTTAACAAGCCCATCTGCCCCCAAAGAATGCAAAAACATAGTTCATTAATGCTATTTTTTCAGGTAGCTGCCAATATCTTGGTAAAACTGATCCATGGTAAAAATGATCTTCTCTTCAACCCTTTTCCCATGTCATCTCTCAGCAGTCTGATCCGCCCGTTTCCCACGCCATCTGCATGAATTCATTTGAGCTGATCCTCTCATCATTGATTCTCATCATCCTTCTTCTCACCCTCCTTCATGCTCTCAGATGCAAGCTCCCAATTGGCATGGCTCCGATCTCTCATCAAGCTTGTCCCAATATGCAAAGCTCTCATGGTTCTCATGGTTCACACAGAATGCCATCAACCATCATCCATCATGTCATCACCTTTACTAGGGGGGTGTGGTCTCCAATACCTCCAATCTCAAACCTTGTTGACCTTGAAAGGGGTGATGATTTAAAAAAATAAAAACACATGTCAACATGATCTGTAAAAACAGGTAAAAACACATGCTGCATGCAGTACATTAAAATGTTAAAATCCTCCAGGATTCATCTCTTTTCTCATGGCTTTCCTCCACCACCCCACCGTACCGTGCACCGTTCTGTACCGGAGCTTGGCCGAGGGACGGCCACCGGTTGAGCCACCGATCGGATGCGGTTGTGCTTCGCCTGACGCGACCGGGGCGACCGGCGACCGGCGACGAGAAGCTTCCATGCGGAACCATGTCGATGGGAGCGACACGGAGCGGTACGTCCGGAGTCCGGATGATGTGGTACTGAGACTGGCCGGAAGAAGGCAGTTCGTAACTTTGATGTGCGAAACAGGAACATTCAGGAAGGACAAGATCAAATACAACGTATATTCCTCATGCCAGGGGAATGCAAAAGAAAGACGGTGAGTGGTTCGACCGAATCCTTGAGGGATTCTGACCCGAATCCGGGGTTCTCACCAATCCCTCGGTCCCTAAGTGCCCCTATAGCTTTTGAGGGATGGCAACAGGCATGTTTGAACGAAGCCTGGCTGGAAGTAACAGCAGAACTCTTCTCAAAGTGATTCAACTTACTCATGAAACATTTCCCGTACAACGCTGGGTCACTGGCTTTTGATTCTTGATGTCGTGCTCTCCTTTATGACTCCAATTCCTCCAGGTTGACCAGGAAATCTGCACCGTCTGCACTGGGTTTTACTCAAGCTTGAGGTCTCCCTCTCCCTCTCTCTCCCTCCCTCTCTCTCCTCTCTTTGAGTCTCCCATAGTGACCTCTTGGGACCTTCTACCCCACATGACCCACATCTGCAGAGCTGCTAAAAGAGGCTCCTCCCCGTTCCAATAATGACCTCTGATTGACTAGGTGGTCAACCATCTGCACTAGGTGGCTTCCCCACTTTTTCACTATCAGCCATCAGGTCGCACCCCTACCTACCACAGCTACCACCGCCCACCCTTGTGGGTGTTCCGCTGCAAAAGCCTGCAGACGCTCCAAAGATGGTAAGAAGCCCAAAGGCCCCAGGACTTCCAAGTGGTTGTTGTCCACCTGTCACATCCGCGTCCAAGATGAAGTCGGATCGCAGGAGGAGTTTGAGGCAGGGAATGGCATGGACCCTGGGTGTCAAGGGGCTATTGCTATCTTAAGAATCTAGGCCGTCAAATGGAAAGGGTTTGGTTCGGGTTCGGACCCCGAAGAGGGAGAAGGCCCGACCCCTGCGAAGAGGGAGAAGGCCGGACTGCAGTTATGGGGCCAAGTGGATTCGACCTGGAACTCCGACCTCAGAATTTGGGGAAAACGTCGTACGCTGCGAATTCGGCTTGGGTCGCGTCCTATTTTCTTGGGTACGAGCGGTCCGTCGGGTCCCGGTTTTTTTCCCATTGCCGCCCAGTAGATGGTTAGGTTGCAGGCTCAAAATCAAATACCCATTTGGCCTCCAGTGGTTGCGAACCTGAGGTTCGGTGGGACCGGGCCTTGGAGGGTCCAGGTACTTTTAAGTTTGTTTGCTACCTCCCACGATCTCCCACGTAGGTTCTTAGGCTCATCATTCACAGCTGCGTTGGTCTTTTCAGATCAACACCATCCCGGACCTGCCGAAAAAACGCTGCCCGGCACATGTTCTTCTCCGGTTCTGCGGGCGTCAACAAGCCATCGAAGCCGCCATGATCTCAAGTTCTCATGCACCAACTGGAAAAGGGGTGAATGAGCCCAGGGGCTCCTGGCCCACCTCCTGAGGTTCGATGGTCGGGTGGGTGGTTTTGGGGGTCAGTCCCCACCGAACCTGAGGGTACAAGTATGGATGGAGGTGTAGGGGAGGTCAACGTTTGATCCCAAACCCTCCACGGGACTGGCAGCCTATGACATGGACTGCAGACGATCCCGACCCCGGGTGGAAGTGTTTTGACCAGACTTGTCTTCTAGTTAACGAGTGGGTGATTGCTTTTTTTGGGTCCGTGTTCATCTGCAGGAGGGTTCATGACTACTTTGACCTCTGAAACCACCTCTGGCCTGATCGGCAAATCATATGCAGTGTCATGGAGTGTCTGGGAAGCTTGCATTGGATGAACATCGACCGATGGCGCTAGCACCCCAAGATGTCTACCTGGATGGGGTGTCTATCTGAACCACCGACATTGGGGATTGCACCATCTACTCTCAATACACTTTAGCTCAAAAAGAACGCTCTCCCTCTTCCTCTGGCAGCAGCACCAACGCCAACCACATTGGCCGGCCATCACTTTCTTTGTTTGATGGTTTTTCTCAGCTGCTGCATGAAGTTGCTCCGAAAAGCAACAGAGTGTCATAGTTCATGCACAAACCATGTTGCAGCGCCTACAAATTCCCCGATGTGGCCTAATCAATGGTACATCACAAACATGTTGGTTTCATGGTAGCCTTACTGTGGTGCTGGTCGTCTGTTGTTCATCACAAGGGCCGTAGTATCGGGAAGCCCAGATTCCAAGTTGTTACTTATAAGTCTTTCCACGGGCCTTTCGAATGGCACACACAAAATCTAGTTGGTGGTAGGTCAAGAACGGTCCAGAAATCATGTCATTCAAAGTTGTTCTGGATTTGTTGATCACAATCATCATTGATAAGAATCAACCATGGCACAAACACTGGAACTGGATGGTGAGCTGCCAATTCTTCGTGAGCCAAAGTAACTGCATGGAGGCATTGTCTGCCAAATTAAGACACTATAGCAGTTTAGTTTTGTTTTTTACCTGTCAATTTGTAGTGATCTTGTCGATTCGAGTATCTCTTGAGGCCGGCCACATGTGAGTGGCCACTTCCAGAAACAGCCCGGCGGTGGAGACACTTCTCTCTTTCAAGAGCTGCCTAGAGCAGCCAGAAA